TATACAACAACAACGTGATTTAAATATCCTTTCTTCTTCACAAACATTGCTTGGAATTTTGCATTATTACTTTTCACTTCATGCCCGTTTATAAAAGTTGCCATGTTGCGAAGAAAAAAATGATACCCTAACTTATAGTTTTGGCCCGCTTTTGAAATACAAAATGACACAAATCGAGATTCGACAAATCGAGAGCAGTTATAAATTCGGCGGCCACGTGGTAAGAGCTCTACTACCCCGATTAGTGCGCTGCGTCGCTACGCTCGGAAGCAAAAAGTTTTCTTTTTTGTTCCAAATTACACGAAAACACTCAAAAAGGCCTTTATGCATGTTGAAGGTTCGAGTTTTATATATGTATAGTCTGGCAAGTTATTGTTAAATTTGATGAAAATTAAGGTTTTGGAATGAGATATTAAATCATCAAACGTGATCAATTCAGGTCCCCAAACCTTAATTGACGCTAAGGTAAGAGCGAATCATCTTCTTCCCTCTTTTCCTCTTTGAGAGGTCCAGATAATAACTTACCGTAGCAATGGTATCCATTTCCAAACGAGTCAGGCGGACATTTACATTCGAATTTTTCATCTCCTGTGATTTCTTGGCATATCCCAGTACTGCCACATGGATGATCATCGCATGTTATTTCTTCCAAAAAGCACATAAAGTTCGTTTGAAGAACAGTTCGTGATGCATCGATAACAAATTATTGTAAAATATTGGTTACAATTATTAAGTGCAAGAGAAAGGATCAGCATTTTGACGATACGAAGCATGTAATGTTTTTATTTAACGATCAAAAGGCTTTAACAGGCAACTTGGAACGAAAGTAAAGAAAACGTGAAATTACACTCTTAAATATTCAAGCAAAATTCGTAAATATTGGGGTGAATATATTCACGTTCATATATGAACGCTTTACTTAGAGTATTAAGTTATATATCGCTACCACAGGAGACATACGGTATCTGAAATTCTTTAATACAAATTACCTTTGCAATTACCGCCTTTCAAAATATATCCATCTTCGCACACGCAATCACCGTTTAGGCATATTGCATGAGGGTCATTGCATTCGTCCTTTGTTTCACAAGCTAAAACAGTACGAAGGATTTAGATATCATGGTCTTACCGGTCTTTCATTTCCAATAATAATGTTGAAATAAATCCCATATTTCCCTTTAGTATTTTTGCACAAGTGAATATAACAAATCCTACATTCTGATCGGTCAAATTTTTCGTATTATCCTGAAGGTGAAGATATTCACGTTCAGGTGAATATAACAAATTTCAAAATGGCGGCTATAGCCGTTTTGTGACCGCTTCTTACAAAGAGATAAGCGAACAATAAAGCGAACGATAATCACTTCGGCGAATTATTGTTAAATATAAACCTAGCCGGGGGACACCATTGAAATACACTTAGCTGCAATTCACAATACTAACGCCTGTATTCAAAAAGCTCACTCACACTCACACTCATTGAGTGGGACATATAAACTTTGTTAATGCTGATCAATGAGAAAGTTTTTTCTGAATAGATGGAAAGATATAAGGTAAATCACTGAAAATCAAGCCCCTATTCGGCTGGAAATATACCGCCATTGAAACGTTATGAGAAGATTAAGATCTCCCACTCAATGAGTTTGAGTGTGAGTGAGCTTTTAGAATACAGGCGTTAGGCTTCAAACCTTGTCAGAAAAAGATTTATAAACACTCAACAAAATATGTCTTGCACACGGCAAAAACGAATTGAATTAATAACCTTGTGTATACTTTAAGTCTCAAAATGGCCATTTGACAGCTATCAGATGTGCACGATGAGCTGACAAAAGATTGCAGAATGCGTATTCATTTAAAAATTATTATATAGTATTCTCTTTGATATCGATACAGAATACACAATTGTGAACCAGTGATCAGATTTTCGGGGTAAAACTTCATAAACACCAATTTCTGCGGTGTTTAGACGCGGGGTATTCTGGAAAAGATAAAGGATTTCTTTGCTCGTATATTTTCGCTGAACAAAGATTCAAAATAGAGCAAATAGAACTCCTGTATTCGAGCTTAAAAAGCCTTGAAGGTGGTGGCTATAGACCTTGCGAAACATAGTAAGCGCGCCTTCGCGCAACTGGAGACGAGGCTTATTATATAAGAAACAATTTTTATATTCTTGGCTGTACAAAGCTATCCGCCGAGTTATCAGTGGCATAGCCAGCCTGACAATTTGGTCATGCTATACAAATTTGAAGTCGTTATATAGAATTATTAATAATATAAATACTAATATAATAAATACTATGTATATAAATACTAATACATAAATACTAAAATAATATAAATTATTAGTAATATAAATACTGAGATAAACTCACCTGTTTTCGCAGTCACAGCATGTCCCCATACTCCAAGACGATCAAGTGCTTTAACGGCAACTGTGTATTCTGTATATGATTTCAAACCAACCAGGAGAGCATTGTTCATTCCCCCACGAACTTCTGTTACTTTATCGAGTGCACAATCATTTGATCCAGACGATTTTAATTCCATATACCCAACAGTATATCCTGAAATGCTATCATCCAGATGGTTCCAGAAAACCTTCAACGTGCTGCTCGTTCGTTCTGTATTATAAATTCCTGGACCGCCTTAATCGAAGCCAAGAAAGAAAATCTAATGCTTACACATCACAATATTAATGGGCAAAAGGCTATACCAGGTGTTTCGATAAAACGAACTGAAATTCATATATTTCTATGCAAGATAGATTTCATTCGATATTCCATTACTATAACTAAAGATATTATAAAGTCAGTGTACAGTGGCTTCTGTGCATCGGTTCTGCTCATGTTTTGAATTTCTTTAAAATAAAGTCTATCTCTAATTCATTTAGAAATATTCTTCGCTTTTATTCACATCGCTTTAATTTAGGGGTCATTTGAGTTTGGCATGCCAGTATACCACACAATATAATGCTTTAAAAGCCAATACCTAAGGCGATCGATATGGCACAAGAGCAACAAATTTGCACCGTGGAACACCTTCTTTTCAAAACGTTTTTTCAATACTGTTGCCAGAAACGTGCCGGGAGGGAAGCGTATTCGAAGTATAAATATATTAAAGCCCAACATAGTGCTTTCAGTAAAGCCATAAGAGACAATTAAACCATTTGAGAATAATAAGAATATATTTGGTAGTAACGTTTCGTCTTAACTTAAGACATCTTCAGACTAACTTAACTTACTTACTTACGTTACTACCAAATATATGCTTATTATTCTCAAATGGTTTATTTGTCTCTTATGGCTTTACTGAAAGCACTATGTTGGACTTTAATATTTACACTTCGAAAAACCTTTTTTACCCAAAAAAGCAGAATTTTGAGGCAACGTAATGCTGACTGCTAGTCGAAGCATGTAACAGCTTGGCACACATCATGTTAGGTTAGTGCAAAGGAGAATGAAAAGAAAATTACTAACCTTTGCAATTTATGCTGCCACGACTCTCACACGCACAATAGGCAATTCCCATTATAGCAAAGCATCATGGGAAATGTGGTAACCTTGTCTTGCAGGCGAAATGGCCGCCATCGAAGCGAGCATTTCGCATGCGAGAAGTATCGCTTTTTTAATACGCTTTTTTCGCAACATTTGCTAACTTTTAATACATCGACGTGTTCCTAATGCTGCAAAGTTTGTTTTGTTCAAATTGCATTGCAATCGAAGCAAAAATGAGCTTAAAAATGTGCACCGAACAACAGAGGGAGCGGAAAATTGGTTCGTAAATACGTTCTAAGAGGACGTTTCTTCTTGTCTTTTTGAGGTGAGTACTTTTCGCAAGCATTCTACATCCCACCATTTTGACCTACAAATGCGTGCATGCCATTGCTCGATGTATACAAAGTAATTTCACAACGATCGAGTATTTTGTGCGGATTCTTTCGCTTGTTGAAATCGACAAATGTTTATCAAAATATCTGTCGATCGTTCGATCAGCATGGCGTTCAAGGGCAATACGTTCAAAGGGGCTTTAAATCTTTTGGCGCGAAATTTAAGCAACCCAAACCGGTTTTATCCGACCCGGCACTGTTACTTTGCTAAAAACGCTAAGAAGAAAGCAGTTTTGACTTTGGTTGTTCGTTTATCTGCTCTTTTTGTTGTCGACGGCTCATTTCCACTTTCTCGTAGAATTATTCAAGTAGGGTTATAGTATTAAAATATTTTTATAGTGCTAGATATATTAAATTCGTAGGTAAAGCTATTTAATATTAACGATTTAAAATTTAACATAGTATAAATAAGTACAATATATTTATAGCTTAGGTAATTTTTAAAATTTACTAGATATAGAAGCTAGGCTAGGACTAAAATATTATATTAATTTATTAGGCAGGCCCTAATAGTAAAAACTTCTAGTAAGTTTGTACATATTTAATCTTAAAATCATAGTTTTAAAATTCATAAACATATAAGTTTAAATTAAGTAATATAACTTTTTACTATGGATAATGAGCCAGAAACTTCATTGGGGGCAGATAGAGGTGAGATAAAAGCTCCATGTCCTAAAAGAAAGTATAAAGGAGGGGGAACAACTTGCTGCATTCCTAGTTGTGATAGTAACACTAGAAAGAACCCAGAACTTTCATTTTATGTAATTCCAACTGATAAAAAGCTCAGGAAGATGTGGTTGCATTGGATTGGAAGGGTTAATTTTGTACCAAAAAAACATCATAGAGTCTGTTCAAAACATTTTGTTGGTGGCAAGAAGACATGCCTTCATAATGTTCCAAATATAGTGGAAAAACTATTACAGCCCAAACAAGCAAAGCCAAGAACAACTTTTAAATGCAGGGAGAGGATTTATGTAGTTAAAGAAAGTGAAAGAGAAGATGAAAGACCAAGTCTAGAAGCTAAGGTTTCAGAACTTGAAGCGCTAGTAGAGAACCTTCAGAAGGAAAATGAAAAGAAACAAAAAGAAATTTTTGACCTAAACAGAAAAATTCAATGTCGTTTCTCAATTCAAAATTTAAAGATAACAATAGTGATTTTGAGTTTTATACTGGATTTTCTAGCTACAGTACATTTAAGGCATTTTATGATTATCTTTGTCCATCTTGTGAAAGATTAAGATATGTTGGATCTTCCAATAATTCAGGACAAACCAACAACCAGAAGTGTGGACCAAAGAGATTTTTGTCTCCTGAGGAAGAACTTTTCATGTGTCTTACAAGACTGAGACTGGGTTTGCTTGAAAGGGACTTAGCTGAAAGGTTCAACATCTCTGTATCCCAAGTGTCAAGAATTTGGATTACCTGGCTTGACTTTTTGTACAGATTTTTAAGATCCATCCCCATTTGGCCATCACAAAGCTATGTTAGAGAAACAATGCCACAGAGTTTCAAGGAAACCTATCCAGACACAAGAGTTATAATTGACTGTACTGAGTTATTTATCGATAGACCATCCCAACCAAGAAGCCAAAGCGCAACATTTTCCACCTACAAGAATCATAACACCGGCAAAGGTCTTATTGGAATATCTCCAAGAGGGGACCTTACTTTTGTTTCTGAGCTGTATGCAGGTAATACATCGGACAAACAACTGACAAAAGACTGTGGCATCTTTAAGTTATTGGAAGTTGGTGATCAGATCATGGCAGATAGAGGCTTTGAAATTGAGGAGGATTTACCACATGGTGTCTCTTTGAACATACCCCCATTCCTTGGTGAGAGAGCTCAATTTTCTGAAGAAGAAGAAATTGAAACTCGGCGGATTGCAAAACATAGGATACATGTTGAAAGAGCTATCCAGAGGATTAAGAGCTTTCGTATTCTTAAATTCGACTTGCCAATATCAATGGCTGAAGACCTGAACAAGATTTGGGTCATTTGCTCATATTTAACATTGTTTTTCAGACCCTTAATTCAAGTTCAACTACATGAAGAATGAATGAATTGTTATGTTATAAACCAATAGTTTTTCTAAAGTACTCAATGTTTAAATATATAATTAAATATATTGTACAATGAAATTATAATGAATTCACTGTAAATTGTTCAGACAATCATTATATTTAAATTATGTGAATATAATATGCACATTCAAATATAGTTATTAAACTTTGTCCATTAAATAATCAAAATAGAATGATGTTAATTCAGGCAAAGTGTGTTGTTTCCATTCCACTTCACTAAAATAAATCCTTTCAATGTGAATGTCACTTACTGTATATACAACAAAGTCTACAAAACTCAACTGGCAAATAGCCATAACACCTTGTACTTGGTGGTAATATACATGTGTCTTTTTAAGACAAGGCTTTCCATCAATTAACTCTAAATAAAATGATTTATCTTTACATGCTTCAGCTATAGTCATTTCAGATTTAGACGAAGGGCATTTCACCTCCACAGCTCCATACTCAGCCTTTTCCCTTTGATCCAAAATGAGGGCATCTGGACTTGCACCAAGCCATGGCCATCTAGGATTTACGATCAATCCACAGGCTGCACAAAGTTTTATGTGTTCTTTTAAACTATCTTTATACTGATGATATCTTACCAATGCTTTCTGCTCATTTTCAATTCCCCATTGACAGCTCGCACTCCTGGTCTGAGATGGCTTTGTAATTTTGTTCACAATACTATTAGGATAGATTGATTTTCTTCTCTTCACCACACAACCAAACAATGATGAGGTCAACCGACATTTTCTTTGTTCATACCACTCATTGCATTTGTTTTGCTTCCGTGTGTTCTTCTCAATTTCCTTGCAACCTTCGTTATCGACAAATAATCTCTCCATGACAAATTCCATACTTTTTTCTTTATCAGGAATAGAGGTACAATCTAATTTTCCATTTAGCCTTTGCAGAATGTTTGATCTTACTGAAGTGTAGTCCAGTTTGTCACCCACTCCTTTTGCACCTACAATTCTCTGTCTTGAGGGTAAGTCATTAACATCAAACTCACATGGTTCACACTTTGTATTGTCTAAGATACCGACTAAATGACTTGTACTTCCTGCTTTTTCCAAACCTGCTTTAAGACACTCCAAATTAGCTTTTGAGACCTTTTCTTTTGTTGAGCAATACCCATCTCTTTTCCCTTCAGGCACTGGACGCTTTCGACCTTTTTTATCTTTATCATATGTATCCTGGGGGAACATCAAATCTTCAAATAATAGGGCTTCTTGTGTTGTGTTCTTTTTGGGGATATGCCATGTCTGTAGCTCCTGGGTGCATGTTTTGTCGTCAGGTATATCTGATAGGCCAAGCTCAATATAATCAAGAAACTGAAATAAAGTAGCTGCCACATGCTTGCAACGACCACCAGCACCAGCAGGACAAGAGCAATTTGCCAAGACAACATTCCCTGAACTTTGTTCAAAGTTAACATTCACAAGATATTGTTTCTTTTTCATTTCTGCATTAACATGGCACCGGACAAGAAAATGGACTTTATCATCTCCATCCTTTACATTAGCTTTCACCCGAAACTGTCTTGGATATCCAGCTTTAAATAACTTGTAGCCACTTTTCTTGTGCTTAAAAGCCTCAGCAGGTTTGCCATCAGTTGTATTTTTATCTCAAGAATCAAATGCTTTTCTAACTGTGTGTATGTAAAAACTGGACAGTTCTTCAAACTTTTTGTCCACCCATCTAATAGTGGTGTTAAATCTCTATCTGCCCCCAATGAAGTTTCTGGCTCATTATCCATAGTAAAAAGTTATATTACTTAATTTAAACTTATATGTTTATGAATTTTAAAACTATGATTTTAAGATTAAATATGTACAAACTTACTAGAAGTTTTTACTATTAGGGCCTGCCTAATAAATTAATATAATATTTTAGACCTAGCCTAGCTTCTATATCTAGTAAATTTTAAAAATTACCTAAGCTATAAATATATTGTACTTATTTATACTATGTTAAATTTTAAATCGTTAATATTAAATAGCTTTACCTACGAATTTAATATATCTAGCACTATAAAAATATTTTAATACTATAACCCTACTTGAATAATTCTACGAGAAAGTGGAAATGAGCCGTCGACAACAAAAAGAGCAGATAAACGAACAACCAAAGTCAAAACTGCTTTCTTCTTAGCGTTTTTAGCAAAGTAACAGTGCCGGGTCGGATAAAACCGGTTTGGGTTGCTTAAATTTCGCGCCAAAAGATTTAAAGCCCCTTTGAACGTATTGCCCTTGAACGCCATGCTGATCGAACGATCGACAGATATTTTGATAAACATTTGTCGATTTCAACAAGCGAAAGAATCCGCACAAAATACTCGATCGTTGTGAAATTACTTTGTATACATCGAGCAATGGCATGCACGCATTTGTAGGTCAAAATGGTGGGATGTAGAATGCTTGCGAAAAGTACTCACCTCAAAAGGACAAGAAGAAACGTCCTCTTAGAACGTATTTACGAACCAATTTTCCGCTCCCTCTGTTGTTCGGTGCACATTTTTAAGCTCATTTTTGCTTCGATTGCAATGCAATTTGAACAAAACAAACTTTGCAGCATTAGGAACACGTCGATGTATTAAAAGTTAGCAAATGTTGCGAAAAAAGCGTATTAAAAAAGCGATACTTCTCGCATGCGAAATGCTCGCTTCGATGGCGGCCATTTCGCCTGCAAGACAAGGTTACCACATTTCCCATGATGCTTTGCTATAATGGGAAATGCCTATTGCAGTGAAGACATTTCAACGCGCTTCCGCAATCCGTGTTCGATGCACAAGCTATGAATAGAAGTATATATTAGAGTAAAAATAGAATAGAAAAATAGTAAGAATACAGTTCGTTTAGATGCGTAGCAGCATTGACCCAGCTTGCAAGTAGAGAACCTTGAATTGAACGATAATCTCGACCGCGGGCTTTATCGCTTAGTATCCACTATTCAGCAAAATATATCAGACAAATTAAAGAGCCTACACGTGCACGTGTCACACTCTCGAAAGTTTTGCATGAAAGTGCGTGAAAAATATAATGTTTTTAGCTTTGTCAAAGACTTTCGGTAAATACCCAAATGAAATCATTGAGTTTGTTAAGAAAAACGTACACGTTTTTACAGATAATCTTTTGTTGCAAGATTCATTTTCACTCGAAGCAAGACCGATAGTGTACTCGGTACACACGGCTAATTCACACAAATCCGTTTTATTATTGTTGATTTCTTTGAATGACCATTCGGTTTCATCTGCTTTTTTATAACAAACTAAGTAATGCATGTCATCGTCCACGAATACTGTCATCGTCGTACTTGTTCGTCTAATTTTGGAAATGTTTGGATCCTTCGTGTCGCAAGCTAAAAGCAACGAATATTACCATAAGGCCATTTCTACGAGTGGGATAAATAGGGTTTTACTTGAAATACTTCAAATAATTAGTCATTTCTTGAAATAATTAGTCATTGCATTGCAAAACAATGCACGTGTGTAATTACGTCTGATATATTGATAAATTTTAATAAATTATTGGATATATGGTATTTAAGGGTACATATCCGACCGGGTTTTACTCATCAGTTCTGCTGATGACAATGCCGGGACGCAGATTAGAAAGTCGCATAAATTACGCATGTTTACTTTAAAGGAATTATTGGCATACCAATAAAGAATTTATTGCTTCCTGCACTTGAGACTTTATAATAAAGTAGATTAAATACTTTAGTTTGACGCGCAGGTAATTTCCCTGGAATTCTGATGACATATAGGTAACGTGTGGGAAAGCGGAGATGAGGGTCAGTATAGATAAAGAGCAGAATGTGCTGCTCATATCACTATTTTCATATTGGCGACTCAGGTTGCAGATACTCGGCCGGTCAATGCAGGGGCACGACTGGTTGGAGATCTGTACCTTTTCCTTGCTGCGATTCTTATATGTGGGTTTCTTATATGCATGTTTTATATATTATTTGTTTTGCTGATTTTACAAGTCTGTCTGTGGATACCTTGTCATGACGGGGTGGGGTTTGTCTCCTTTACCCAAGGAGCCTTGTGGCGTTTAAATTAGCCCCACCTTTTCTGTGCAAGTTGTTTAGTAATTGAATTTATTGTTTGTTGATTAATAATTAATTTGTTGTTAAGTAAAAATTAATAAATCGGCATGTGCGTTAGACAATTACGCACATTGCCAAAATTATTCCAACTCTGTGTCTGAGTTGTTTTTGTACGAGATCTAGAACACAGAAAACAGAGCTCGTCATGACAAGGTATCTTTTAGATATGAAGGGAAGCGATAAAGGAATTATTGGCATACCAATAAAGAATTTATTGCTTCCTGCACTTGAGACTTTATAATAAAGTAGATTAAATACTTTAGTTTGACGCGCAGGTAATTTCCCTGGAATTCTGATGACATATAGGTAACGTGTGGGAAAGCGGAGATGAGGGGTCAGTATAGATAAAGAGCAGAATGTGCTGCCAATTCATTCTGCTCCTCGCTTCGACAAGGTCATTACAGATCAAATTTGAACCCGCCCTCCTCCCCGTTTTCTCACGCGAGCTTAATGTAAAGGTATATTAGTATATTCGGTAGGGCGTTTAAATTAGCCCCACCTTTTCTGTGCAAATTGTTTAGTAATTGAATTTATTGTTTGTTGATTAATAATTAATTTGTTGTTAAGTAAAAATTAATAAATCGGCATGTGCGTTAGACAATTACGCACATTGCCAAAATTATTCCAACTCTGTGTCTGAGTTGTTTTTGTACGAGATCTAGAACACAGAAAACAGAGCTCGTCATGACAAGGTATCTTTTAGATATGAAGGGAAGCGATAAATAAGAATTTATTCAAAACTATATAATGAACTAACAATGTGCGAGATAAGAAATTTACATTACGACTGGACAACGTCTTTATGATATCACGAGTTATCACGGCGAGGTAAATGTAGTGTAACTGTAAAATAATTAGGTTCCGTTTCTCATCTTTA